TAATAATCAATACATTCTCAATAAAAAAAAATAAATATATATATTTTCATTATTACATCAACAAATATTTGTTTTAAAAGTATTATTATTTTTTCCTTTTCTTTAAAATGATTTTCTATCCCCAATTCTTTGTACACCTTTAACCTGGCATTACTAAAATTAAAGCAATATATGGGAGCATGGATTTTATCCTCAGTTGAACGTACATTCTCACATAGTTTATAACTCTTACATCAGGGTTTTTTTTGTGTCTGTCCCTTATGATCGGCTGAAGTTTAGTGATTTTTTTTTTTCTCTTAATTTCTGATATTTTTAAAATCAAGTTATTCCATCGGATTATAATTTTGTTTTATCTTATGTAAAACTAATGTTTTAAATCTGTATCATTAGTCGAGTTTAAATTTTGAACAGTTTTACAATTCAAGTAATCTTTGTTAATATTGAACCTATCATTGAACTCGCTATAACATATATTAACCATAACAAATTCATTATGCATATTTTGTACACTTTAGTCCATGAATGATTTAGTATAATTATAAAATCAAAATCAACATGTTTTATTAAATTTTAAAATGACTTTGTATATAAGTTTTTACATACCTATTGTATGCTGATTCAAGTCTATAAATTCATATCTTATCAACAGAGCTTGTACATACTGTTTTTTTCCATATTCATTTTCATTAAAATCAGAACTTTTGTCAATTAAAGTCATTACAGTAATATTTAAAGGAGCTAAATCGCTAACACTTGAGACCTAGTATGAATGTATATAAACTGATTTACATTCAATAGTTTCCATTTTTACTCCAATTTCAAATCATCTATGTTTGGCGAAATAAGCCAGCAGTCTCAAGCGAGTGCAAATTTCTAGCGTCTGGTTATTCCAGTCTACATACGCCGTTTGATTTGGTGCAATGTGTCTAGCCTCGTCCCTCGAGTCTCTTGATACAACTGGGTCTGAAGCGCGTTATGGTACACGATTCGTGTACAAATGGTTAAATGTTTATTTTGTCTTAAATATTGGGGGGGGGGGTGGATGGCTGAATGGTTAGCGTGCGCGCGCTGTATCATAAAGTCTGTCATTGAGTCGACTGGCGTGGTTTCGAATCCCCGGTTGTACGTGGCAAGGAGTACGGTCGCCTGTCCAACCTCGTGGGTTTTCTCTGGGTCCTCCGGTTTCCTCCCACTGCTGAAGACCCCTACGCGCAAGCGAATTATGTAAATAAAATTAAAAACCATATGTTAGTCCCAAAATGACCTAGTTTGTGTTGAGTGGACGTTAAACCCCAATTCTCTCTCTCTCTTAAATATTGGATATCAAAAGCCCATCTTTTTCCGGTAAGATCACAACATGAATGTTGATTTAATTTGACAAATAAATCGTGTTTTCAATGTTGAAGATTTTGGATGATATTGAGTTAGAGACTTAGCTACTCTAATGTTTATATTTTGAACTACATGTATTAAAAATCTTAACTATTTCTTTATATATCAGACATGTGCAGCATACATATTTTTTCTCAGTTGTTTGATGTTAATTATCAATGAATTAGTGTATATGTAGTGTGTACATGTGTGTGTGAGTGTATGTAATATATATATGTGTATATTTATGTATTTGATTTATTATTGTAATTTCATTATGTTTTGATTGTAATATTTATATCTGTATTTTTTTTTTTGGAGAGTGGGGTTGCCTGCTCTATAATCCAATTATCTTTAATAAATAATGTTAAAAAAAATAAAGACCAAGTAGTCTATATATATTTTTGAAAATAGGGGTATGGACAAACAAGGGACATTTTAGCCAGTTGTTAGAACACAACCTGTATTATACCTATGCATTAATTTCAAAAAGTCATAATTTAGCAAACACAAATAACTGTCCAGAAAACATCAGTTAATTGTTATTACATTGTCAAACCTTATTAGGGGTGCTTTTGGTATGGATGTGGTCGGGCTTTAGGAATTTCCGTTTTGTGGGTATATTGATATTAAAAGGGTGGGAGATTAAGCAGTGTATGAGGGGGGGGGGGGGTGGGTGCTGGGCCTTGCCTTTGATTTATGCATAGTTATATTATATGGATGCTACAGTGTCGACTTTATTAGAGATGAGGAAGGGTGGGCTTAGGGGATCTATTCTAACCAGTTAATATTAGGGTGAACTCGACAATGCAAAGTATGTATGTGTAGCGTCTCAACATTTATTAGAGACTTTTTAGGGGTTCGTTCCAGCCTAGCACTTCAATCGAAAGAACTAACAAACTCGGGTGTAGATAAAAATAAACATCTTTATTTGGATCAATTTATAATTGGGATACATCACATTAAGGGGAGATAACTTGGGTGAGACGCCAACCCTTTGGATAAATTCCCAGGTATGGAAACAGGAATTAGGTAAAAAAATACATTTGCCCTGTCTGGCCGGTGGATATGACGGGATTAAATCGGAGATTTGGTGACATAAGGAATTGGTAAGACTTGGCCTTGGGGGAATGGGTGAACCACAACTAGGCCTATCTTGGATCAAGCCAGTCAAGGTTAAACCAACCTATGAGTCTTTAAATAGGAGACCAGTTATGGATAAATTACCACAGACAAAGCTAGGATATTAATTCCTTACCCATTTTTGGTGATCCATATCCAATTTAAAATAGCTGGATTGCTGCCAATTACGTAAGGAGCTTTCCCGAGTGCACCGAGTGTCCACTGAGGATTTCCTTGTCGTCTGCTTCTATTTATAAGGGGATTCCGATGACGTCAGTTGTCGACCAATCAATGCGAGCGTTACTAACAATGACGACGTTATAGCCTTGACCGCGCCAAAGTGTCATGGCCGCCGGCTGTTTGATGTCGCTTGTTTCGCTAACTGATTTGTGTCAATTCATCGGCCTAACGGGAATGTTATAAATATAATTATGTGAAAAGGACAAGATGGATATCGGGCATTATATTGTGATACATGGTAATGTATGACATTGTTATATAAATGTGTTTCGGGAAGAACTCTACAAGGGAGCTGGTCTCATTTTTTTGACACTCTCAGTCAGAAACGACGTGCGAAAGACTGGAATCGCCTGGACCGTAACATTGCCCCCTTCCTCAGAGAAGTTCGTCCCGAACGCTAAAACGGTTCTCCAACACACACTGACTCTGACGTGATTGACTTTGCCAATGTTATCTTCCATGTGATGACTGGAAATAAGGAAAGAACAACTCACTTCTGCAGTGGTAAACGTGGATATTATTGCCACAAGATTAATTTTTATTTTAATACAGGTGAGTGGCTCAATATAATATTATATTATAAACATTAATATTAACATACGGGGTAATAATATTGAGTAAAAATAGTATATACAATTTCATATATGTTAAAGTTTAACATCCTCACTTGAAAATTACATTTAAGTTAATTACAATTTTGAATTAGATATGTTTATATTATTATAATGATAACAAAATTCACAATGATAAGAGCATTAATATTATAATATGGAATTAACATAATTTTATAACAAGATTTTAATAACAGGTATAATACATTAATATTCGCTCATTTTCTCTTTAGTGACTTCTAGTAAGGCATCTAGTTCATAGAATTTCGCTTCCTGGATTATGGCAGCGAGTTTAAGACCTTGGATAGGTAACAAATGTTTAAAAGATATGGGGGAGTTTAAATTTCGAAGATACTCTAAGATAATGGGGAAATGATCAGGGCTACGGTCTAAAAAATAATAACTATAGTAATAATAGTTGTCTTGTTTGTAGGGTTGAAAAGGGGAGTCAGGGGTTATCATCTTGGCCAGGATACAGGATGGGTCTTTGCTTAAAATGAAATTGCTTGTGTAAAATAGGGTACCTCCAACATTTAACGCAATACGGTTGTCCTGGGCGGTTTGAAAGGATTTCAGTTTTAAGGTTATTCTGTTCGTAGGGATGTACGTGGGGGATTGGAGTTCGCTACTGTGGGGGTGTAAGGCAACAGCCCCAGGAATGGCTGGGTTAATTGTATTACTATTATTGTTACAATTATTATTAGATTTCGACACGGATGACAATGATGATGATGAGGATGATGATGACGACGATGACGATATTGATGATAAAAGTAGATCTTGGATTATGGAAACTGGTGTCTTCGTCTTCTCTGGTGAAATTGGTGATTTCTCTGACAACACTGGTGTTTTTTCTGACGAAATTGTTTTTTTCTGTAAAGGAACCGATGTCTTGTCTGATGCAGCTGATGTCTTCTGTACGGTATCGGGTATCTTCTTTAATGTAATTTTTGGTATTGTAGGAACTGGTAATTTAACTTTAGGATGAATATAATTTTTGTTTGACTGAATAGGTGGGGCAGGCGGGTCAATCGATAGTTTCAGGTGCTTCATCCTATTGTATGGTTTTTCTGGTATCGTACGCTTTCGAAACGGGGCTTGTGGATGCTTATCTGTAGGTAAAGATTGTCGTGTAATTATTAATGCCCTTCTCCTTCCACAGAAAGCTTTATATTCATCCTCGTCGTTTTGATTGAAGGTCATGGTTGCTTTATTGATCAGTTTCATCCTGGCAGTTCCAGGACATTTTGGATGTTTTATGTCCGCTCTCGCGGCCAGTCCAAAACAGTGCGTGCACTGATAGCCAAAGTTACTATGACATGAAGTGACGTGCCTCTCCGCATACTGATATTTGGCGAATTCTGCGTTTATACATAGTTTACACCCATACCGTATGTTCTATAAAAAAAAATAAAAATAAAGAGTTGATAATTTATGACATCTTTAACCAATTGGGTATATTATTTCCCGTATACGGTTTCAGATGATTATGGTGGACCACTTTAGGTTGGGTCTTTGGGGATTTTTGTATTTTATAGACTACATTATTAAGACATTTTGTCACCAGGTAGGGTCCCTCCCATGGACACCTTAACTTTGAACCTCCACCTTTGTATTTGTGGTTATAATACCATACAGGACTGCATTGTATGGATTTAATTGAATAGATCTATCGTGATCAACTTTCATGTTTGCCGTGGCTTGTTTTAAACGCCCTCTAGCAAAACTATGTATTCGTTCTATTTTATTTTGTAAGTCAAAAGCATAGTCTGACTTTATTTTTAAATTTGTAGGTTCCACTGATCCGAGAATGAGATCTACTGGAAGACGGATGTTGCGGCCGAAGACCATTTCACATGGAGAAACGCCCAGTGATTCGTGTTCTGCAGAACGATACGCTGACATGAGTAAGTATATGTGATCATCCCAATCATTTTTATTAATATTTACAAATGCTGACAACATGGCACTTATGGTACGATTGGCCCTCTCAACCATTCCATCGGATTGGGGTCTATAGGGGGTGGTTCGAGTTTTCTCAATATCTAAAATTTTACACATTTCTTGGAACACCTCAGACTCAAAGCTTGGTCCTTGATCGGAATGGATTTGCATGGGGGTACCAAAAATTGTTACAATTCGGTCAATAAAGGTTTGGGCTATTGTTATAGCTCTTTGATCAGGTATTGGCATAGCCTCAACCCATTTAGAGAATAATCGGCTGCCACTAGTAGGTATTTATTTCCATGCTTTGTTTCCGGTAATGGACCCAGGACATCTATAGCCCATCTTTCCATAGGTAAACCCACGTTGTAGGTTTTTAAAGGGCCTTTGGCTACCTTGGCAGGGGATTTGCGAGAGGCACAAATATCACAAGTCTCACACCATTTCCTTATGTCATTATGCATTTGATACCAAAAGTATCGGTTTTTGATCTTAGATAATGTTTTTTTATAGCCTAAATGACCCCCTGTTCTGTGTTCATGAAGTTGGGACCATGCAGAATTTCTCAGGATATGAGGGAGAATAATTAAGATGGCTGGATCTTGGCCTTTCCCCTTATCCCAGATATAGCATAACCGATCGTGATCAATTAAAAAAGGGATTCGAACCGCATCCAATAGTATTTGGTGCGCTGATCTCTGTCCGATATGTTTGGCCACGAAGGTTTATCATTATGCTTAACCCACTGGATTATTTCATGGAGTGTAGGGTCTCCCAACTGTAGGTTGATTATTAATTTGTCGTCATATATATTTATTTCTTTATTTATATTTTCTGGAAGGGAAGAGGAAGATAATGGATTTTTGTTTAATTGGTCTATTGGAGCACTTGTGCAAGCCAAAACATTAAGGTTTTCATTGGAGGTACGTGGATCTTCGATAATACTATGCTCGTATCTCTGTTCCGCTTTGGTACAGTGGAGACAGTCAACTATGCATGGTCGTCGAGATAGTGCATCTGCATTATTGTGTACTCGTCCTGCCCTGTACTGAATGGTGAATTGGTAGGAAGACAGGAACTCAAACCATCTAGCAAGTTGTCCTTCAGGATTTTTAAAATTTATAAGCCATGTTAATGCACCGTGGTCACTTCTGACTGTAAACGGTTGACCATAGAGATAATGGTGGAATTGTTTCACTGAACTTATAATTGCTAGTAATTCTCTTCTGGTTACACAATATTTCCTCTCCGTTCTACTAAAAGCTTTACTATAGTAACTTATCACTCTTTCTACACCATCTTGTGTTTGTGAGAGCACAGCACCTAAACCATTATTGGATGCGTCAGTGTCCAAAATAAAATGCCCTTCTAATTTAGGGAATGCAAGTATAGGCGGACTGGTTAAAGCTTCTTTGAGATTATCGAAGGCAGATTGGCATTCATCGGACCATTGGAATTTTGTTCTTATCTCTGTTAGTTTATGAAGGGGTTTAGCGATATCTGCAAACTTATTGACAAATTTCCTATAGTATGAGCATAGCCCAAGGAATTGTCTGACCTCTTTAACATTTTGAGGAATAGGCCAATTGCGTACTGCGTCTGTTTTAGATGATTCAGTGGTAATTCCATCCTGATTAATTATATGACCCAAGAATGATACTTGTTTTTTAAACATAAAACATTTCTTTGGATTCATTTTCAGGTTTGCTTGTTGGAGCCTCTGGAAGACTTTTTCTAAATTGGATAAGTGCTCGTCAAAGGATTTTGCAAAGATAATGATATCATCCAGGTACACCATACATATTTCCCATGATAAGTTAGCTAAGACCTTCTCCATCAGTCTTTCGAACGTGGCCGGCGCGTTGCACAATCTGAATGCCATGTTTTTGAACTGCCACAGTCCACATCTGGGTACAGAAAAAGCAGTTTTGGGCCTATCTTGTTCGGCAATCTTGACTTGCCAATATCCCGATCTCAAGTCAATCGTTGAGAACCAAGAGAAACCAGACAAGGCATCAAGAGTAGTGTCAATCCGAGGTAATGGATGACTATCTTTTATGGTGACATCATTTAGACGTCTGTAATCAATACAGAACCGTAGTGTATTGTCTTTCTTTTTAACTAAAACGACAGGAGAACACCAAGGACTATCAGATTTTTCTATTATATTTTTCTGTGCCATGCTTTCTATTTCCAATTCAACCTCTTTTCTGCTTGCCAGGGGGACGCGACGAGGATGCTGACGAATTGGTGGAGCACAACCAGTATTAATCCAATGCTCAGCTTCATTGGTGATGCCTATATCAGATGAATCTTTGGAAAAGGTATGTTTGTATTTTAACAAAAGGGATTTGAATGAACGTTGCTCGTTCTCAGTTAATTCATCTATTGAATTATTATAAACTTCCATCAAATAATCAGGAAGGATGTCTGAATCCAATGCAGGAGATTGATTAGTGTCTATTTCATTAATGGGAATATTACTTTTCATTTCTGAGACCAGCTGAACTGTGTCAATACGGGCAATAATTGTGTTTTTTCGGACTCTTATTTCTGTGTTGGTAGCGTTCATTAAACGTACGGGCACAGACCCCGAGCTAGGGTTAACAACACTTTTTGCCATTAACAGTTCTGTCTTTTCCAGAAAATTCTCAGTAGGTTCGACAATTGCGCCACCACTTCTAGGTATCGGATCCATTAAGATCCCAAAGACAAAAGTCTCACTATTAGCGGGTATAGTAATATCCTCATTCATGCAAATCCTACTGCAAGTTTGCTCCATAGAACTTTGAAATCTATAGCATGGTAGATCATCTCCTTTAATATTCAGGCAATTCCTGTCGAGAAATATATTTATTGAATTGGAAGTAAGTAGGTCAATGCCAATAATTCCTTGCTGTGTAATATCAGCTATTAAAAACTCATGTTTTATCCTATGAGTACCAAGGGTTATATCGATCCAGCATTTACCATGGAACGGTTTCTTTTCGCCAGTGGCAGTTACCAGGTTAAAATTAACAGGCTTTATATTTAATTCATCCAAAGCCCCTAATGTTTTCATAAATTGCGTACTAAGTATAGACACATTAGCTCCAGTGTCTACAAGTAAGGATATAAATTTCCCCATTATATTTGCAGTAATAAAAAATCCATGTTTATCATCATTAATATTACTTATTGTTACATTATTGGGCCCTTTGTTATTTTCAATTTCTGCTGAATTCTGACCCTCGAGTTCAGCAACATTTAGTTTTCCTGGTTTTGGAGATCCCTTTTCCTCTGTAAATGGGGATTATAGGTTGTCTCCCTTGGTTTGGATTGTGACTCCTCATCAGGGTTTTGATGATTAGGTTGATTCCAATTATATGGTGGACGAGACCATCCATTTCTTGTGTTTGCCATATGCTGAGGCCTATCTGTTCTCCTATTGGAGTTATATTGATACCCGCCATAATTATTATTAGAGTTTGTATGTTGTTGGTTATTTGGCCAATGACTCCGACTGTAATTGAGATTTTTATTCCAGGAGCTACGTGATGATTGCTGCAATGGTTGTCCCTTATTTAGGGTATTTATCAAGTGTTTGGTAGTTTTATCCAATGATGTGATTGAACCATTCAAGGTAAGTATATCAATTTTGCTTTGACCCATATCATCAGATTTTACAGCTCCAGCTCCGACCTGGTTTATATTATGATTTAGATCTACAGAATGAACTGAACGTCCTCTTTGTTTATCTGCCAGTCTGTGGACTTCGAGTCTAATAGAATGTATCTCAGCCTCATTGATATCCTTGGGTCTTAGTTCCCTAATTCGTAATCTCATTTCTGAGTCTGGTATGGAGTCTATAAAATGTTCTAAGGCTAAAATATTGGTGAGAGATGCATCTGCCAGGGGGTAGGCCTGTCTCGTTAGTTTGCGAATGGATTGAGCCAGCTCAGATAAGGATTCGTTTCTTCCTCTAATACGAGTTTGTAATTTTGCTCTATATATTTCAGATTTTTCCGTTGATCCAAAACGAATACTTAGGAGGGTTGTGAGGGTATGGAAATCCGTTCTCTGGATAGTATTTAATTCTGACAAGATTGTCCTGGCGTTTCCAGACAAACTACTGGCTAGGTAAAGGGATTTTTCTTCGTAGCTATTATATCAAATTGGGAGATATATTCCTCAAAATCTTCACTTCCATCATATGATTGTGGTTTGATCCTAAGGGGGTTATTAATTCTAGGACTGGTGGGAACATGTGCTTGGATTGAGGTATGATTAGAATTTTGATTATGGCTTGGTGTGCTTCTGTTTTGAGCATCTCCATTTCCATTTGAGTAAAATGTGGCAGGATTTGGATCATTTACTTTTTCATCCAATTTATTAACATGGTCATTTAGTAATCTAACATCCTCCTTTAATTCCTTTAAATTGTCTAAAAAATCATTTTGAACCTGAGCATTTTCCAGGAAGAATTGATTAAATTGTCGGCTAATTTCTTTAAGAATTCCATCGTCACCCATATTCTGATTTTCTATTTCAGTTCCTGAGACATCACCATCAACTGATTCTACCGAGGGCATATCCGGATCAGTGTCTGGGATAATTTCGAACTCTGGGGACAAGGCTTTGGTGGCCATTTTTATAGATGTATTTAGAATCTATTACTATTATTAATATTAATAAAGGAACCTAATTTATTTATTTATTTGGAGTTTGTGTTTATTAGAACTTCCGATCCACTAGACACTGGAATAAGTTTCAATGAAATCAATTTAATTTGAATCCCACTTCTGACACCAATGTAACGTCTCAACATTTATTAGAGACTTTTTAGGGGTTCGTTCCAGCCTAGCACTTCAATCGAAAGAACTAACAAACTCGGGTGTAGATAAAAATAAACATCTTTATTTGGATCAATTTATAATTGGGATACATCGCATTAAGGGGAGATAATTTGGGTGAGACGCCAACCCTTTGGATAAATTCCCAGGTATGGAAACAGGAATTAGGTAAATAAATACATTTGCCCTGTCAGGCCGGTGGATATGACGGGATTAAATCGGAGATTTGGTGACATAAGGAATTGGTAAGACTTGGCCTTGGGGGAATGGGTGAACCACAACTAGGCCTATCTTGGATCAAGCCAGTCAAGGTTAAACCAACCTATGAGTCTTTAAATAGGAGACCAGTTATGGATAAATTACCACAGCCAAAGCTAGGATATTAATTCCTTACCCATTTTTGGTGATCCATATCCAATTTAAAATAGCTGGATTGCTGCCAATTACGTAAGGAGCTTTCCCGAGTGCACCGAGTGTCCACTGAGGATTTCCTTGTCGTCTGCTTCTATTTATAAGGGGATTCCGATGACGTCAGTTGTCGACCAATCAATGCGAGCGTTACTAACAATGACGACGTTATAGCCTTGACCGCGCCAAAGTGTCATGGCCGCCGGCTGTTTGATGTCGCTTGTTTCGCTAACTGATTTGTGTCAATTCATCGGCCTAACAGGAATGTTATAAATATAATTATGTGAAAAGGACAAGATGGATATCGGGCATTATATTGTGATACATGGTAATGTATGACATTGTTATATAAATGTGTTTCGGGCGTGAACTCTACAAGGGAGCTGGTCTCATTTTTTTGACACTCTCAGTCGGAAACGACGTGCGAAAGACTGGAATCGCCTGGACCGTAACATATGTCTACACACGCAAAGACTACAGTAGGAAGAGAGCCTCTGATAAAATATAGCTTCACGTACACCTTCATTGATTTTGATATTTGGCAATTATCTATATTTATATTCGATTATATATAGGCCTATATCATTGCTATCAAACAACATTTCCAACCCTTCTCAAATTATCTTAATACTCGGAGCTGTGGTGGGACGTTAAACGCGATGCATGCAAAAATTAAATCCACAGTGTCGTGTTGGCCTACTTTCTTAAGAATAATAAATTGATTCATCACATTTACACAGGCTACAAACAGTTTAAAATTTGTTGAGAGAGGACAAGCCTGTCAGGTATTACTGACAGCGTCTTCACGGGGGTAAGAGGGGTAAAGCTTGTCTGGCATCGGGGAAAACTGTCCGTCTGATGGGGTGGAGGGTCCGAAAACACGGCACATGTGACATAATTGCCAAGTGGTAAGCAGCTGTCAGTTGGACACTCTACCCAATGAGCCATCGCTGACCTAAATCTTTCACATTTATGCACTTATTACATTTTAGCCGACACCGGTAAATACCACTATTAATAGTGCGCACTTTCTTTTCATTAGAAATATGATTTACAACGAGTTTGGCTAAAAAAAATCGACCTAATTATATTATAGAAAAACAACATTGATCTATTAAATTCTCCTTAAGGTCACGTGTATTTACTGTTATTCGCTATTTACTAGATTTTCATTGGCTGAAAGCTCGCCATCTCACTACTTTTATTATTGCGAGGACAAAAAATGCTGTCGTTTAGATTATTTATTTAAAACGTTTCTGGCACATAAATCGGAGTGTGGTAGTTTTGTTTACAATACATTAGGGTTATTTCTCGAGAAATAAATATTAAAACTTTCCACAGCGGTGAGTTGCAACGACTTTTGAAAACTAAGCAAGTTAGAACTTCCCAGTCCTCCGCCTACTTATTGATGTATTTGATACATTAAATAGTCCAGGTAATAATTGAGGGAGGTGCCACCTGGAGAGGTAGAAATTCTCATGTGGTTTTTCTAGACCAGTTTTTTATTCTGAACAAGAAAATATGAGGTAAACAGGCTGCTTTCTGATCCTTTTTTCCGTGAGGGCGCTTTTTTCAAAATGGCCTCCAAAATCTCATATATAGTGACTATGTGGGTTAAATAATTAACAATGATGCATGTTGGACCACTTTTTGCATTCGTTTTTATTAGAGTTTTTTCCAAACAAGCTACGATTGTATTCTAGACTCTAGAAATGAAATGAAATGGGGTTTGATGTCCTGCTGTTCTGCTCCTTCTGGGATATTTTGCCCGGACAGCGGCACTACGGCCTACTCTTATATTGAATTCTAACTGTCAAGGGATCTTTTACATGCACATTAATGTGTACACGGTACCTCGGTTTTCGTCCCATCTGAATGACTAGACAGCTGTCCTTGTCAGGCCCTCCGTCCTGTATCACTGACAAGGGGGAACCACGTCGGAAAATCTGGATGAACTTCCTCGACCAATGCAGGGATCGAACACTCGAACCCCAGGCTATCGAGCCAGCATCTTACCCACTTAGCTACTGTGATCCCCCAGACTCTAGAAAGCGATAAAAAACGAGAGCGCTCTTCAAAGTGGTTGCCAAAATGATAGATAAACTGTATGTATTTTTATTAAGCATTTATTAGACCACACATTTTATAAAGAGGTAAAATGATGAGGGTGGACTTCAAAATGGCTGCTTACAACTTTGATAAAAGGATATGGGCCTGGGTAGGTAATGAAAATATTATTCAGGTGCATTTGACATCTTTTTGCATTAGTTTAACATAAAGTAATTTGAAAAGAATCTACTTGTCTGACAAATAATCAATATGGAGGTAAAAAATGAGAACGCTCTTCAAACTGGCCGCTAAAATCCATTCTAATAGAGCTTTAAACATGCATTATTCAAGAGCAAAATCTGCTTATTACAAGTCTTTCTTTAGGCCAGAAATGTTATCTAAATTATCAATTAGACATTAATTAACTTACCCAGACCATAATAAACTCTCGATGTCAAGGCCAGCCTTCGATGTTGGCTGGATAAGATTCCTATATGCCGCTAACGGCCATTGATAATTAAATCAGAAAAAGTGGATAATTGAGACTATGCTGTTTATATAAATGATTTTAATAATGATGACCGAGACTATGCAAAAATTTCACCCGCTTATTTCTCGGCTCATAGTGGATCAATTTGACTGAAATTTTCAGCAAATTACCTTTACACTATCTAATTTTTAACTATTATAGCGAGAACTGCCATCTCTTTATCTTATCTCCCATAATGTATCTTTAAGTAAGCTTAATATATTTATGTGTTCAGATATAGTAAGTTAAAGAGAGGGAGAGAGAAATGGGGTTTAACGTCCACTCGACACAAACTAGGTAATTTCGGGACTAACATATGGTTTAATTTATTTCAATAATTCGCTTGCGCTTAGGGGTCTTTAGCAGTGGGAGGAAACCGGAGAAAACCCACGAGGTTGGACAGGCGCCCTAGTAAGTTAAAAATTTGATACATTGTTTCTATATAATCAATGAAAAGATGTTTGACATCTCATTCTTAAGGGAGCTTAAAGGGTAAGGGCTTATATTGAATTGTCCTAACAATGTACCCTGGTATGACAAATCACTCACAATGTTATATCAGATCACTGCATTCTGAAAAGTCTTTGCACTCATTAGCCCTGTTTAAACTTGGCCGTGATAAGCGTGCCGTACAGGGGCATGGTACCAGGCCGCGATGAATTTGAAGAAATTGACCCGTTTACATTACTGTAAAATAACCGGTCTCAGAACCGTGCCAGGTACGCCAAATGTGGAACTCTTCACAGAAAAGTTAATTTCAGTCCCTATAAAAATTACCCAGATGAAAACAATTATGATGGTGGATTTAGTTTGAGCAGCCATTTTGACAGAACTGATGACAGAACTGTCAAAGTTTGCGGGGGAAAAAGGTCAAGGTTCATTTCGCGCATGCGCAGTTATCCGTACTGAAACTGTGCTCAGACCGGATAGCGTTTACACTAAGTAAATTTAACTGCGCCTTATACCGTGCCGAGACCACCTCATTTCAGTGGGCCAGATTGGCACGGTACCAGGCACGGCACGCTTATGTTGGACCCTTTTACACTACAAAAAAAAAAAGAAGGAACCGTGCCATACTTGGTACCGTGCCTGGAACGCTTACAGTTTGTAATGTAAACGGGGTTATTTTCAATAAACAGTATATCTTCTGGCATCATTGTCAACCATTGTCATGTGCAAAAGAACTGTGGGTGGCTCATCAAATTTGATATAGTGTAATTATTTACACTAGTACCGCCCCGGGAAATTGAAGCATCGCAAGTCTTACATTTGACCTTACTTCACAGAATTATTTTCTTTGTTTTATCTAATTCACTATTGTCTGCACACTGTCATGATGAGTAGAAGTTTTAAAAAAGGTGGGAAAATATCTCTTTGCTTACGTGTGATTGAGAAGAAAAGGATTATTCTTTAACAAGGTAGGACTGTTTTTGGATACCATCTATTTTAAGGCTTTATTTTAATAAATTTTAAAAATATAACTTAAACATATGAAATTGTAGCTTTAAATATGTAGACATAAATTTTATCGTTATCGACATTTAATAACTCATAAAATATAGACCATACTTTATTAATTCATAATATTACAAACAATAGATGGTTTTATTTTCATCTCTAGTTACAGAAATGGCAGGAGAATGTCACGTGATTGCTACTGTTGACAGACAGGGAAACTATCACTCTGATCTCGTATCATTACTCGTAATCAACATTTAATAACTGATAATCTCGACTTTATTAATTAATCATACAGCAAATAAATGATGTGTATTTTTGACTGTGTAGGAAGAAATGAAATGAAATGAAATGGGGTTTAACGTCCTACTGTTTTGCTCCGAACTGGGCTAATGAAGACGGGACTGCGTAGGAAG